TTTGGTAAAATTTAGATAACTTTTTACTAATTAACTTTTATAAAATACGTCTCTACAAAAAATATAAAAATTTCAGAAGATACAAAAAATACACTTTCGACACTTTCTGTTGAACAAACTACTTATGATAATAAAGATCTCGTTAAATCTCCACAAGAAATGGATTTTTCTTCTCCAAAAGAGGATGAAAATGCAAAGGATGAAAAACAACAATCAAAACTTGATCGAAAAATAACAATTGAAAAGAAACTTTCTGCCGCGGTTACTGAGGTGATGAACTCTGATGATGCTAAAGTGGCTACTAAAATTGAAAATGATGGAGAATTAATTGTTAAAAATGATTCGAATATGAGTGATATTACAAAATATCAGGTTGTTTTGAATAATTTACGTAAGGAAAACAACTTGTAAGTTGATCCATCATTTTTTAAAAAAATGAGATGGAGAGGGTTGAATGGCTATATACTGTATTAATACATTAATACATTTATATTTGCTTAAAAAAAGAACACGGAACTTTGCATTACACGAGATAGTTAATGCCATGGAATCTTTGGTGACTGTGCCTGAAGAAGAAATTACTAATACTGTTGGTATGGATCTAATTCAATGATTTTATATGATTATATGATTTATATATTAATTATATAATTTATTCTTGTTTTTTTTTAGTTCAAACCTTTGTTACGAAATCGGCTGTATATCTTGGTGATTATAAAATTCTCAAATATGGTGAAACTACTGCTGAACTGGAACTTCATTTGTAAGTTTAATATTCGATGATTTATTCATACTATTTCATACTTTTCATACTATTTATACTATTTAATACTTTTCATACTATTTATTCTATTCATACTCACGCATACATTATTTTTATCATATCATATAGACAAGCAATGTCATCAGTAGTCTACATAGCTTCAAGATCAGTTTCAATGTTAGAACAAGAAACACGTGAACGTCTTTATAAAAGTATAGCACGATTTTGGGATGCATCACAACGCACAACAGCTAAACTAAATCCAAATATAACTTTTTATCTTCGTGAGATTAGATGTTGTTTAAAAAAAATTAAAGATGATCAGACGAAATTAGAATATGGTCTTATATTCGTAAGAAATATCGCTGATGCCGCTGCTCATGTTGCAATCAAGAATTATTTTGCCGCTGTTGCATGTGCCGTTAAATCTTTTTCGGTAATTTTTTTTTTCATTAAGTATTGATTATTTTCTTACGAGTAATTACAGTCGTACCTCTATATAATCACCTCCTCTATAATCACATCATATAAAAACCTCTCCTTATCACATTCTGTACTCAAGAACAAATTACTATTAAACTTATGAAAAACTACCTCTATATAAGCACAACTCCTTTATAAGCACATTTTTTTAAAAAGTTCTTAAGTAAAAAAACGTGATTATATAGGGGTCGACTGTATTAATATGTTTCTTTTTTTTGTTATGAAATTAAAAATAATATCAAATATTCTAACTCTTATTTTATAGTTTGAATATCCTGCAGGAGAATGGTACGACAAATGGAGAGTAATTTTCGAAGAGTTCCACGCGT